AGCATATGTATCTCAAATGTACTCAAAATGATGTATGTACTCTTGCTTTGTCATAATATTACTAATAAGAAGTAAAAAAATGATTGTACAATTTCAAAAAATATTAATTCTCATTTTGGCTTCTGACGTCCCAGGGGTGACCATATCTCACCTTGATAACTTCCAAAATATGGAGCATATGTATCTCAGGGCTTGCATTAACGGCGTCCCTTACATGTAAGTGACGCAAAAAAAATTGTAGGACGGAAAAATAAAAAATATTTCCGTTTTTGGGACGGAAAAAAAATTGAGTCAAAACTTTGAACATTTTTGAAAATCTTGAAAATCTCAATAGTTGATCATGTTTGACTTCTTTGAGGTGTATATTAAGATCAAAATATGTGAGATTTACAACTTTATTTTGAGTAAAAAAGAAAAAGAATGCAGAAAAACGAACTATTGTAATGGGCGATAATAGGTTATCAGTTTGCATGTGACATATTTTTCTCACTGAAAATCTGATATAAAACCTTCAAAATGAGTTCAATTGTACAAATGATGCATACTTACCCAGGTGAAGTAGACTATTTGTGATTATATAACATCAAAATGGTCTAATTTATGATATAAATCAGAGGATTCTGATCATGTAGAAAATGTAGTGATACACTAAATTACTGAGCGTCAGACAAATTCATACTAAAAAATGTTCTTATTTTTTCAAGCAGTTGTTCAGTGAAAACAGCAAGTATAAAGATAATCACAGTATAATAGTACTTACTATAACAGGCTGGAGGTTACATAACATAAGTGAATTGAATATAAAGAACATGTTTAAATCACAGGGCACGAATGGCAACATTTTGAAAACACATAAGACATGTAAGATCAAGTCATGCACATTCCAAAATAGCCCATTATAGCTAATTTAGCTAATTTAGCTTATATATTGGAGGACACACTTTTTTCGGTCGGGACTCACTTTTTAAAAAATTTTCCTTCATTGGGACTCACATTTTTCAGAGCCTAATGCAAGCGCTGTATCTCAAATGTGCTCATAATGGTGTATGCACTCTTGCTTTGTCATAATATTACTAATAAGAAGTAAAAAAAATGATTGTACATTTTAAAAAATATTAATTCTCATTTTGGCTTCTGACGTTCCAGGGGTGACCATATCTCACCTTAATAACTTCCAAAATATTGAGCATTTGTATCTAAAATATGCACAAAATGGTGTATATAGTCTTGTCTTGTAATAATATTACTAATAAGATGTAGGAAAATGATTGCTCATTTTAAAAAAATATTAATTCTCATTTTAGCTTCTGACGTCCCAGGGGTGACCATATCTCACCTTAATAACTTCCAAGATATGGAGCATATGTATCTCAAATATACTCAAAATGGTGTATGTACTCTTGCTTTGTCATAATATTATACTAATAAGAAGTAGGAAAATAATTATACATTTAAAAAATTTTAATTTAAGCTTCTGACGTCCCTGAATAACTTCTAAAATTATGTAACATATACAACTCAAATATACCAAAAATGGGGCATATGGTCTTGCTTTGTCATAATGTTATTCATGAGATGTAAAAAAATTATTGCACCTTTTTTTAATTGAAATTTTTTATTTTAGCTTCTGAATCTGACATCCCAGGGGCAAGTATATCTCACTTTGATATAACTCTCACGATATGCAACATATGCATCTCAAATGCGTGCCCAAAATGGTATAAATATAGTCTTGTTTTGTCATATTTATTGGATTCATGAAATCAGAAGTTCAGAATTTATGGATTTGACTGTCTCCCCTGAAGGATGCAGCTACATATAGCCCAGAGACAATAAGATCTACTTTCAAATATTTGCATCTTCTCCCCAAACACTCCTTATATTACAGGAACAATGGACGATAAGTCTTTTGCATGCCTTGGATGCAACATCTTTTGTATACTGGTAGCCTATCAGTAGTGTGAGTAGCCTAGCCTCATTTACAAAAATTGGCCCCTTAACCCCAAATCTGACCCGAAATTTTGAAAACATCCTGGAAAATTAGGCCTAAAAGGCGCATTTATGCCCAAACATACACCAAACTGTCCCACTGCTAAATTACAAGGGCGATAAGTCACTTCTAATCCTGATTGACATTCTCTAGTTTGCATGGTTTGTCATGATGTGCTATATTGTTATTGCCCAATCTCAACAATTGTATTCACTGTATGGCCTACCGTGCCAAGAATAATGCAATTGTTTAGCTAATCTCTTCTTTGGGGGGACCCTAGAAGTGTGGGACATCACAATCATAGATTAATATTTCATTACAATCAATGTATCTTGTATGACAAACATGCAAACTAGAGAATGTTAATGTGGCTAGAAAGATTTATCATTACAAAGAGCTCCTTTTCCCATATTTTACATACTCAAAATCCCTTAATTCAGTGTATAATCCAAGGTGCATATATTGCAGGCCACAGGATAACATATTAACACCTTACATTAGCAGTTGCCATTACTTCATAAATGGAGTAAAGTACTCCCACTATTGTCAGGTTAAAACGATTCCTGTATGGATTACAAAAGATGTTGGGTCCAATGTATGCAAGGGAATAATCTCATCCATTGCACTTGTAAAGGGTGTTTGGGGAGCAGATGCAAATATTTGAAAGCAGATATTATTTGCCCTGAATTATATGTAGCTGTAGAGGAGACAGTCAAAATCCATTGATTCTGAACTGTTGATTTCATGATTCTCAATAAATATGACAAAACAAGACCATTTTGAGCACACATTTGAGATGCATATGTTGCATATTGTGAGAGTTATCAAGGTGAGATAGCCCCTGGGACACCAGAGGCTAAAATTAAAATTTTAAAAAAAATGCAATCATTTTTCTACATTTCATTAGTAATATGAAAAAGACAGAACTTTTCTGAGAATATTTTAGGATTATATGTTACGTATCTTAGAAGTTATTATTATTATTATATGGTGCGATATGATTACACAAAGCAAGAGTGCATACACCTTTTTGAGTACATTTGAGATACATATGCTCCATATTTTGGAAGTTATTGAGGTGAGATATGGTCGACCCTGGGATGTCAGAAGCCAAAATGAGAATCAATATTATTTTAAATGTACAATTATTTTTTACTTCTTATTAGTAATATTATGACAAAGCAAGAGTACATTCACCATTTTGAGCACATGTGAGATATATGCTCCATATTTTGGAAGTTATTATATTAAGGTGAGATATGGTCACCCCTGGGACGTCAGAAGCCAAAATGAGAATTAATATTATTTTAAATGTACAATCATTTTTTTACTTCTTTTCAGTAATATTATGACAAAGCAAGAGTACATACACCATTTTGAACACATTTGAGATACATATGCTCCATATTTTGGAAGTTATTAAGGTGAGATATGGTCACCCCTAGGACGTCAGAAGCCAAAATGAGAATCAATATTTTTAAAAATGTACAATCATTTTTCTACTTCTTATTAGTAATATTATGACAAATCAAGAGTACATACACCATTTTGAGTACATTTGAGATACATATGCTCCATATTTTGGAAGTTATTAAGGTGAGATATGGTCATGCCTGGGACGTCATAAGCCAGAATGAGAATCAATATTTTTTAAAATGTACAATCATTTTTCTATTTCTTATTAGTAATATTATGACAAAGCAAAAGTACATACACCATTTTGAGTACATTTGAGAGACATATGCTCCATATTTTGGAAGTTATTAAGGTGAGATATGGTCACCCCTTGGACGTCAGAAGCCAAAATGAGAATTAATATTTTTTAAAATGTACAATCATTTTTCTACTTCTTATTAGTAATATTATGACAAAGCAAGAGTACATACACCATTTTGAGTACATTTGAGATACATATGCTCCATATTTTGGAAGTTAATAATGTGAGATATGGTCACCCCTATCCTGCATGATGCCAGAATTTTAAATTTCAATTATTTTTTTCTCCGCCAGTACAAAAGCTATTGATCCAATTTTAAGTATGTGATATGAACATATATAGGTCCTTCAGAATGAATTTTTTCAGTATATTTCGTACCTTAACAAATCTAAAATAAGTTATTGCACGTGGTAGAAGTATGAAAATAGGTGGCGCCCCTGTAGTGAATTTCAAGATATGCCCTTATTTTCACCCTAATCCACACAAGAAAATTCATACTGATTGTAAATAATGTTTTTGATAAGATTTTATTAGTATTTCAATGTCATTTTACTATTAAAATGTGTTAAAAATTATTTTATACCCCTACCCCCTGTTTGAAAATGAATAGATGGCGCCTCTTTAACTGCCCATAGCGAATTTACTTACCACACATTTTTACTCAAGTTAGGATAATTTACTCTAGAGAGTGTCTGGAACAAAATGATACCCTCAAACCTTTTATACTAGCCGATCACCGAAATCGGAGCTGGGGACAGCATCAGTGATATATATGAACAGTAAACATCTAAAACTGATGAATGTTCAAGTTCAAGGAACTTTGTAATACCCTGCCATGCTATGTCCCCGAATCAGCCACCTGGTGGCGAAACTGGTGACTACCTACTCGCATCTGAGTAATTAAAGATAAGTCACTGGACCCATCAGATCACAACTAGAACTCTCAACGTTATTGAAAACAAAAAATTAACCATTCGTTATATGAGCCTGGCCATAGGAAAACCGGTCTTATCACAAAAATCAAAATTGTGCTACAGAGCCAAAAATATGCTAAATTCAGATCCGACTTTTTGGTCTATATATGCAAGGAAAAATTGTTAGGACATAAGCCATGGCTCATTTGAAAGGTTTCTTTGTGCTTTTTAAGATAAACAAAAAATCAGAATAATGAAAACATCTGTAATAAGACCCCTTTTCCTGTGGCCTGGCTCATATTTGGTTGTAATGACATGCTTCTGATCTAAATGCAACTAGCCTTTATGAACTGCTACGCCAATAGGATTATTTACATCATTCTAGCGAGATGTCCAGAACCATCTAAACCTAATAATGGTACAGTGGTCACGTCTCCACTGTCCAAATCATTCGTACGTTCCTGGGAAGAGCAAGCCGAATATACGTGTGATAAGGACTTCACCCTCACAGGAAAAAGGACCCGAAAGTGTTTTGGACTCAGAAAATGGGTGTACAATGATAAGGAAGAATATTATTATAACTGGAACGGCGAGATTCCTGTTTGCAGTAAGTTACATTTTCGTGTAATGAATGTTCCATTAGGCGAGTAGAACCAATGGCCAAATGTGCCAGGAAAGTACTTTTTAAAATACATCATGGGGAAAAGGACAAATGAGGTACCGTTGTAAAGCTAAGGTCTTCGGCTTTTCAAATCCACCTGTACCTAAGTTTGAATTTGGGGCAAAAATTGCAAAAACATCCGTTTCCATAGCAACCATTTAAAATATAATCAATAAATCAGAAATCACCTTTCGGATCGTAGAACGCCTGTTACCTGCCCAATTCTAATGATAAATTACAAACGTGTTGTATACATGGTGTACATTAGTACGCGCCTCTAGTCTTTGGCATTCGGTAATTTTCCTACTTCATTAATAGTTTTTTTGTTTTTTTTTTAAGTTTAATAATAGTTTATTTCTGTGTCACAGGTTTACTAAAATATTACAAGTAAAAAACATGTATTAAAATACCCAACAGCCGACATCGGCTTACGAGACACCATATAAATATACAAAGATAGTCAATAGAAAAATATAACATCGGTATGTCGAATAATATCACAGAGGATGTAGAGTAAGTTTGCAGAGTGTGAACAATTCACAGACAAAATGACTAGAGTTAAATAACATACAATATAAACATGAGATTTCAAAATGCAATAAATGAGAATACAGTAGTTATGACTGATTGATAATATTGCACATATTTAATATCACAAACGTTCCAGGTTAAATAAACGTTTTGAGAACATTTTGTAAAGAGAAGCAGCAAGGCAGCTTTGAATATTCTTCACAATGTAGTAATGTGATCATAATTAAGGTTGGATTGGCACTTGAAGTATTTAAATAAGGTACTTTAACTTTGGCTTCCTGATACAACATGTCTCTTAATTCTGTATAATGTGAACATTTAACAAGAAAATGTAATTCATCTTCAACTTCATTTGAGTCACACAGTTTACACTTCCTTTCCAATAAAGGTGTGTTATTATACCTTTGTGTCTCAACACTAAGTTGAAGGGACCCAGTTCTAAAGCTAGCTAGAATTTTCCTATGATGTCTTGGCATGTAAATGTTATTATAATGTTCAGTTACTATTCCGTACTTGAACTGTCTATATGTCCTCAGTTTATTACCATTGACTAGGTTATGTTGATAGTGTTGTTAGTGATTCGTACATGACTGCATTCACGCCTTCTATAAACTGTAAACAAAGTAAACATTTCACCTGGAATATATTCGCGATCAATACCCCTGTTTATACGTGTAATGTGTGACGTCATAACTGTGGGTCGTAGTAATGGCGGACCATGGCGAAAATTCGAAACAATTTGGTGAGTTTTCATGTTCGAATCGTAATATAGAACACAGAGCAGAGGTAATATCGTCGAATACACCCCTTGGAGCTAGGCAGAAAAGCTTTCGAACCCCTCACTCCCTTTGGTCGTTCTGGGTACAGAAAACGTTTGTAGAGCATTTTGGGAATTTTGCCAAATTAAAATCACCTCAAATACTATTTTCAGAGTTTATTTTCCAAATTGAAAGGATACAGCTTGTTTTTATGTCCCCACCACATAGTGTGGGGCCATATTGTCGGCCTAGGCGCGTCCGTCCGTCCGTCTGTCTGTCTGTCTGTCCGTCCGTCCGTCCGTCCGTCCGTCCGTCCGTCGTACGTCCGGCAGTTTTCTCCAAAACCGCTACAGATATCCCCTTCAAATTTTCAGGAATAACTTATGAGTGCATACAGATGTGGATGAAGAATTTTTAACTCGATATCTACTTTCTGTCGGCCATTTTGAAGTCAAATGCTAAAATCCTCGTCTGCAAAGTTGAAGAAAAACGGCTTCACAATTGCTTTTAAAACTTTGACATCTTGTTCAGCTCACTTCATTCTAGATCTGATTTGGTTTTGGACATGTTAGCTCAGTCATGGCAGCCATTTTAATTGTCTGAAGAAAAGTTAGCGCGCGATAATACTTTGTATCATATTGAATGGTGTTTTTGAGTTTTCATACTTTAACTATTTAGTAGCATTAAAAATAATTCCAGGTGTACCTTCTCGTAAAAGCCTATGTTATTGTTAACAGTAGGAATATGTGATAATTTTGTAAAATGAAATCAGCAAAAACTCATAATCACTTTTTTATTGCGAGCCATTTTGGATTTTTCCATCCTAAAATCTTGTCTGTAAGTCTTGTCTACGCGTTTTAAGGTGAACCGTTTGGTAGATCAATTTCAAATTTTCAGGGATGATTCTTAGTATGAAAATCTAGATCTGATTAGTTTTCGGGCATTCTGGGTAAATGTCAAGACAGCCATTTCGGATTTTACTACGCAAACCTTAACTACTTACACTAATATTGCCACTATGTGCTAACATCCACCATTGAATCTATCTATGGCCAACTTCCCGGGAATTTCTTGAGCATATTACACTGTGCACCCCCGCACAAATGCCCGGATATTCCTCAATTATTCCGCCATTTTCCTTCTGTAAAGACGGAAATTTTAGAATCGCAATAAATTTACAAATAACTTGTGACTATGGACACGGAACTGGGAAGTTAGTTGTTCTACAGGTTCATCAGTTACAAATGAAAGTAAGAGGACGAGGAAAATAGATCATATGGAACTATAAGACAAGTTTTCAAGGTTTTTTCTTTGGGTTGTTAGTCCACAAAGAAAACATCTGATCTATAAAATGTCGAAGATCTTACCTCGTTCGTTTTATCTTTGCTTGCTCCATATAGGGTCTTCAGTCCCGACATGAGATTATAGTAAGCATATGGAAAAGGTCTCTAGTGTCAATTGACCTTTTTTCCAGACATTTGTCATATTAAATGACAATTTCTCTGGGGTCATTAGACCATCAGAACACATCATGTACAGAGAACGAAATAGTACATGTTCTTCTCTGTGTTATGTTACATGTGAGAGGTTTTCAATCCAGATAAGAAAGTAAGGAAGCCCGAAGAAGGTAGACACTGTGTTTATGCCTTGCAGTACCTTGCCTTACACTGAGGTGTTTCTTTTGGTTGTCAGTCCATAAGAAAACATTATCTGTTCAAGTTTACACAGCTCTCAATTTTTCGTCTCTGTATTCATCACATAAACGTGTTCAGTTCCAGATGAATATGAGAAATTTGAAAAATATCTATATCTGAAGATGGCTTCAGACAGTCAGAGGTGTTTTTGGTTGTCAGTCCACAATGAAAACACATACGTGTTCAGGAGAACGCAGACGAAATGGCTTCTTTACTGCTCATGTGTTTTTTGGTTGTAAGTCCACAATGAAAACACATACGTGTTCATAAGAAGTTATCACCTCTTTTCTTCATGCACAGTTAATAAAAGGACTCCAGTCCCGATATGAATTATGTAATAAACATGAAGAAATAACTACACCAGTAAATTTGTCTTCCAGGATTTGACATGTGTCATGCATGGACTGCATGATCCTAGGATGAAGAAGATATTTCTTCATCTTACAGTAGCGTGATCACAATAAGATGTTCAGATGAAGACACTTGGTTCACATGCATTTAAATGTATTTAGAAAATAACACCGTATGTTGTAAAATCTGGTGTAGTATTCATGTAATGTTGCATACATAGAACACGTATGCTGACCACAGCTGTATAATTGGTTTATTTAGTCCATTCAGTTTTATACTAGTTCTGCGCAGCAGGATAAGTTTGTCACTTATCCATTTGGTTCAGTTATTTCTGGACTGAGTTGTTTGTCTACTGTTCAGAAAGAGAATAGGCTAAAGATTAACAAGAGTAACTGTAAGATTAACAGTAGGTCTACTGTGAAGTCGTCATCTTCTTCACAGAAAAGACCAATATAGCATTTTTAGCCTACTCATCTTCCAAGTAGATGTAAAATCTTTTCGAATCAGAGACCTATAAGTTATGGTCTCTGATTGAGCGTTTCTGTTTTCTCCAAGTAATTGTACATGTTGCTATTAATATATGCTGAAGAAAACGATTCATGGATGCTCACAATCATCCTGTTATTGGTTGATTCAGTCTCTTCAACAAAGAAGTAGAAGGTGACTTAGATTGTTTTAGTTTTTGAGTCTCTAGACTAGGCCTATCCTTCTAGCCATATTAGCCAACAACTGAACAACACAAGTACTTATTCATATAAGAAGTGTTATAAGCGTTGACAAATGACAATGTCATGAACTTGTCATTTCTGACTGAAATCTTTTTTTCTCAGGAATCATTTCTGAATACTCCTATTTAGCAGTTTAGACTCTATTCCTGGAATATTAACATTCAGAATTGAGTTGGCGGAAGTACCTTCGACATAGGTTACTTTCTCCAGATGCTTCTCATAAAGCATTCAACTCAGAGTTAATTGTTTGAGGAATTAAGATTACAGTCGAGGTTTTTTGAAAACTTAAACATTTGGCGGTTTTCAGTTTGCCAGATAAAGTAAGGTTATGTCTAAAACATCACCTCCGTGAAGGTTTTGTTTCCTTTATTTTACTTGGCCTTGGCAGCTTTTGAAGTCAAAAGTTGATTTTTGAAGTCTAAGATTACTTTTCAGATCTCTTGTAAGTCAGTTCAAGAGACTGTACATCAAATTCTGTGCTTTCCCCTACAACCTTCGGTGTTATTCCAAAGGTTTTATTTTGTGATGAGGGGAAGTAGTTATACTTACTTATAACAAGTCCCTATATCTGTATTCCAGACCATGGGCCTGTTTGCTACCACATCACACACAGAATGAATATTTGTTTATTTTGACCTTGTTCAGGTTGCTCAGAGTATAGTCAAAGTGACTTTTAAACACGGTTTAAGTATAATCAGTGTTTTACTGAGCCAGTCTCAGTCATGACAGTATCATCATCAACAGGTTCACAGTCGTGCCGTGCTTCTGTGTAAACTTTTGTGTCTTAAATAGCCACACCTTCACTTTAAGTCATGGTATCATGAGTGTTCAGTTCAATCACTATTTGAGAGATCTTACATGTTGTTTAGAGGTTTATGTTTTTTCACCATGGAATTATTGTTACCATGTTTCCTTGGTGGTAGAACCTCAACACATCATTTAGTGGTACTGAAGTACTATATACTCGAGAGCTAGTGTACTCTTTGTTATAGACATGGTTTCGTTTGTCTTGACATGAGCTCTTCCAAACAAGAGATTCAGACTTACCTTTTTACGCATTGGTCAATTAATATTAACAGTGGCAATTTTTTCACACATATGTCTTGTCGTGATCAAATTTTGACCAAGTTATTTTTGTAACAGTCTCATGATTTTAAGAATCACAGACATCCTCTGCTGACTGTTATACATATGATCTTTAACGGAAATCTCAGTTTTTCGTGTGGTTTTGGAGATATTTCTATACGAATTATCTTCAACTCCATCTATACTTTATCAAATAGTTTCATTTTTGAGACAGTACATTTTTTAAGATGTTGTTCTGAGTAGAACACTGAGTTAAGGAATCGTTCTGCCCTGAGACTAGTAATGTCACTACCCCCTTAATAGGACAAATATACATCTAAGGTTTATGATGTCAAGATTCCAAGTAATTAACAAGGCATTTTGGTGCCCTGTCACAGGAATGTTATTCTCAGGAACCACATAGTCATCGGTTCGATTCCTATTAGCTACTGTAGTTTAGTGCTGTTTGCCTATTCTATTTGGCAATTGAATAAGGCTTTTAACGTTGCTTTATTTTCTTCTGTACCATTCACATTTGAGGCAGATGGTGGTCAACCTCTTGAGGTGTTTAACAGAGGATTTCAATGCGAGAATAATTCTCGTTATATTTATACATGTTATATGGGAACGGTTCTTGAACACTTACTAGGTAGATGAAAGTTGCCCAAGAACATTTTTGTGTTCAAAGATGCAAATCATAACGTAGTTGTCATATCCACGTTGGTTGACAGCTAGACTTCCTTCAAAATCAGGGTTCATTTTCAACAAGAGAATGTGAAACACCTGTAGATTTTAAGGATGAGAAGCGTGATGGGGTTTTTAACACCTATATTGCAAGAAAGCAATATTGTGACATCTGACACTACAGTTCAATTGATGTGTAATACTATTAACTATTAGACATCAAGACGTCTCACTTGAATTGTTTGTTGTTTCTGATTCAAAGATTATTGATGTTTAGAACATCATAGTCTTATTAATGTGAGTTTGCATTCTAATGAGTTTATTTACTCATATTTTAGTGATAGTATACATGTTTGTTTATGACTAAACAGCAATATTAGAAGATACATGAAACGTATATCTTCCCCAGCAACTTTGTGGATAAATTGCAGGTGTTTCTTACCAAGAGACGCAGAGTTTTTATCACACTATATATGCGATAAGACTAGAATGCTACTGAATTACTTGGTAGTCGTCTTATTTACCTGTAATTGTTGTAAATCGAACTCTCTAATGATATTTCTATCATGATATCGTACAAGATTATGCTTTACTAGTCTAGTAAATTTTCTGATGTCAGCATATATCAGAGGAGGGTTTTCAGAACCAGTTCCTAAATGATCTTGTCCTGATAACTTCTTCTAGAGTCGAATGATTCTTTAAGGTTTTGAGTTAGTGTTGTGAATCAGTTGAACTTATTCACTCTTAACCATTATAATCCCTTTCTTGGGTTTGTACCAAGATCTAGGATTGTATTCAGCAGGTATCATTTAGACATGTTTGGATACATGACTATCTAATTAACCGATTTTTTTCAGAAAGTGTTCGGTAATATGCAAGTTTTATTGTTGAATTGTAAACAACCAAGCATACTCGACTAATAAGGAGGGTGTACATGGGTTCTTCAATGATTGAACATGTGATCCTAATGGCAATGAGTAAATGATGAATCTCTACGTAGTTTATCATTCAGACACAACTTAGCCTTTAAGGGTTACAATGCTTTGCAGAAGCACTTATACCAGATGTTTAATATTTAATGTAATTTGGGATTTCGGAGTTATCACAATCCCAAGAATATTTAAACAACTGGTGTTCAAAGTTCGAATATCATAAAGAGTCCAACATATGGTAACCGATATGGTAGTACTTTGTCTCACCTTTACTCAAAAGAGAGAACGAAAAGTTTGCATTGATTTGAAGAACCAGATACATTTAACGAACTTCAATAAAATTCCTTTAGATCTTTGGATCAAGCAATTATTAGCTGTTATCTATACATGTACAAGGTATACAGAAGTATACACATGTAGCTGTTAAAGAAGGGTCGAAAACGTTATGTCAAGACCAGTAACTACTTCTTCAATCTTTGTTTCTAGAAGTCGAGTGGAAGATATGTTTAAAGCAGGCACAATGGGCAGCTTAATTTACTTCCAAGTCATGTATGTAAGTCTAGGACTATGCAAGAAGATATTCCGACATTTTTCTTAACTTTATGGCCAATCAGAATGTCAGAATTTGTACTGTGGTATAAGTTCGTCGTTGACCTTTGGTTGAATTACCCCGCCATAGATAGACGTCCGTTTTTTATCATAGTGGCCAATTGAGTCATATATGAAATAATACTCAGTAGTTTTTTAGCATAGTGAATCTGTATAATTAGTTTTGTTAAGTGTTTAACACAGTTTAAACATTTCACCCCAGAACTTGTATTTGGTTACTAAGTTCCTCAGTCCCGAAGGCTTTAGGATGTAAAGTTGGGTTACCTAAAGTTGTAGGGTTGATCAATTTGTAGTTTGTTGCAAATTTATTCTATTCCCGTGGTCTTTCTGCTGTTTAACCCACCGCCTACTTGGCTGGGATTCAGCACATAGTGGCAATATTAGTGTAAGTAGTTAAGGTTTGCGTAGTAAAATCTTAAAATTTAAAGTAATTTTAGTTTTTATTAGTAAACCATACTTACCTAATATTGCCACTACAAATATGTCCCTCCCTCCTCCTCCGCTTACAGCAGAATGTTCATAATTGTTATAGCGGAATAATTGAGGAATATCCGGGCATTTGTGCGGGGGTGCACAGTGTAATATGCTCAAGAAATTCCCGGGAAGTTGGCCATAGATAGATTCAATGGTGGATGTTAGCACATAGTGGCAATATTAGGTAAGTATGGTTTACTAATAAAAACTAAAATTACTTTAAATTTTAAGATTTTCCGTCCTAAAATCTTGTCTGTAAAGTCTTGTCTACGCATTTTCAGGTGAACCGTCAAGTAGATCAATTTCAAATTTTCAGGGATGATTCTAAGTATGAAAATCTAGATCTAATTAGTTTTGGGCATTCTGAGTAAATGTCAAGCCAGCCATTTTGGATTTTCCGTCCTAAAATCTTGTCTGTAAAGTCTTGTCTACGCATTTTCAGGTGAACCGTCAAGTAGATCAATTTCAAATGTTCAGGGATGATTCTAAGTATGAAAATCTAGATCTAATTAGTTTTGGGCATTCTGAGTAAATGTCAAGCCAGCCATTTTGGATTTTCCGTCCTAAAATCTTGTCTGTAAAGTCTTGTCTACGCGTTTCCAGGTGAACCGTTTGGTAGATCAATTTCAAATTTTCAGGGATGATTCTTGGTATGAAAATCTAGATCTGATTAGTTTTTTGGCATTTTGGATAAATGTCAAGGCAGCCATTTTGGATTTTCCGTCTTAAAATCTTGCCTGTAAAGTCTTGTCTACGCGTTTTTAGGTGAACCGTTTAGTAGATCAATTACAAATTTCCAGGGATGATTCTTAGTATGAAGATCTAGATATGATTAGTTTATGGGCATTCTGGGTAAATGTCAAGGCAGCCATTTTGGATTTTCTGTCCTCAAATCTTGTCTGTAAAATCTTGTTTACATGTTTTCTGGTTAACTGTGTGACTGATCAATTTCAAATCGTTAAGTGTGGCTCTTAGTGTGAAAATCTAGAACTGACTTATTTTTCAGCATTCTGGGTAGATTTTAAGGTGGCCATTTTGGATTTTACGTCCTCAAATTGTGTTGGTAAAGTCTTGTCTACTCATTTTTAGGATAACCATTTGACGGGATGACCCATATATGTGGGGACATTTTGTACACATTTGTGTTCTTGTTTACTATTGCCTTACGAAGGAAAAAGCTGGATACATGTATTTATTCCATACTTGGACGTGTTACAGGTACATAAAGCCGGTTTGTAAAAACTTATATTTTCATCAGCGGGCAGATATAGCTTTACGTCCCGCTCCGAGCGGGCAGATATAGTATATCTGCCCGTTACGTCACAATCACCGCTCGCACATTTGCTCATAATTTGTAACGTTCGCGTTATGACTGTAAACGACAATGGAGAAAACAAAGACAATCGAGATCTGTTTGATGGTATAAAAAAGAGAAGGGGCATCCACTTAATCAATCAGAAATTTGAGAAAATAAATGTGGGAATATTTGAGAGAACAGGAAAATCCCCCCACGGCCAAGAAAACAAAACTGGACATGAATATTCTAGAATATTTCCACGATTGAACAATGTTAACCAGATGACCAAGATTGGTATGGGATAAACATATTATCCTATAGTCGGTTCAGGATATTGGGATTATCCCTTGGCCAATATGATATATTTTCCCTCGGGACCTGCGGCCCTCGGGCAAATATATTATATTTGCCTCGGGATAATCCCAATATCCCGAACCTCATATAGGATAATCTCTATGTATCCCTGCATGTTTTAAAGATTATGTGCAAGTGCACAACATTTTAAAATAATATGAGAAAAGCACAAATGAATCCGTTTCCCCTCAATTGCTTGACTTTTTTATATCTTTCTATCTATCTAAATTTTTCAAGTGAACATAATATTCAAAAATTGAATGTCTTGTACTTTCATGAAAACTCAGACTGTAAATCATATCAAATGTTTCGTTTCTCGTTCACAACATTTCAGGTGAAGTATTTTTACCAAGATGCCCCCCTTCATAGTATTGTTAAGTAATGGAAATATGTAGCCCAAATGATACCACAATGAGTTGACTTTTTCTAGCTATTGATTCCTCGTTCTGTAAGGCCACAACAAATAAATTGGAGGTCTATGGAAATACATGTTACCAGTTTTTCGAAGCCCAGACCCACAGTTACACTCAGGCAGAATCAGCGTGCAAGGCTTTAGATGACTGGGAGATTGCTTTCATTTCAAATGTAGCGATAGTGGATATAATCGACAGTCATATGACTGCCTGGCATCGTATCTCTCAGCGATATTGGTTAAAAGGTAAGTGGAACAAATATATAAACCGAATTATTTGGTTTTGTGGCAAATCTGGTACAGAGATATAAGTGAGTTGTCCTTTGAAAGTGACTGTCATCGGACAAGAGTTTTCCCTTGTATTAAAGAGCGTTCGATATATAGGTCAAAATGACCCCCCCCCTGTTAAGATTTTTCCCCATAACTTTTTATTGCCATCTGGTAGGGTCTTCAAATTTTCAATAGCTGGAGCTACAAATATAACAATTTGTTATATATGTAGCTCCAGCTATTGAACATTTGAAGAAGAGATCAGCAAAATTGTACATAGAGTTATTGATTTATTATGATGTAATCATCAGCTCCAATAGACAAAATCAGAAAAAAGCCAGCACTAATTCTACCATACGTGTTGTCTTACGAATAAAATTACGCAATCTTACATCATCGTAGTTGTTAAAGTTTTTACACCAAGTTGTAGATAATTGAATGAAGTATATGTGGAAAAAGTTTGAACATCCTAGCTCTTCTAATAAAATGTTTACAAGGGGGGTGCCCTTTTGACCCACCCCCTTAGGTGTTCGTGTGACTATTTTTACCTTAGGGCTTCTAGGGTTAATATATTTCAACCTGTAGACAACCATGATAAATATTGATACAGAATTGTTCCAAAGTACACGTACCCAATTTGGAAGATGCTTCTGTAAAGTATTATAATTAATTTTTATTCTTTTGATTTAGTTGATGAAAATTATAAGTATCGTCGCGTTAACGATTCATTATGTGCCTACGCCTTTGTTTACGTCCCCAAATACAGAAATCCATATGCTTGGATTCGCTACTTCAGTTCAGGCAACGACTGTAACAACAAATATGGATACATCTGCCAGTATAGTAAGTATAAAATTTAGTGTGATTGTTTGAATAATAATCCCGAGGGGCCGAAATACTAAACAGTCGCGCACAGGTTCTCTTAAAATTGTGTCTCTCAAACAAATTATAGCAAGTATGTACTTCAAAATACTAAGTTTTCTTACTACGTTTTTCGAACGTGCATTTTCCTTACAAAAGATATGATACACATGCTCATATAGTGAAACGTTCTAATGGCAGAATTCACCCTCTCTCTCTTTTAATGCTCTGTCTTTACGTGTAATGCCTAATACATCCTAGGTCAGTTGTGTTTAAATAAAAATATTGAATTAATTTGGCTTTTTCAGGACCGACAACCAGGAATACATGTCCAGACATTAAAGTTCCAAATGGCTTCGTGGTTATGAAGAGTAGAGCCGTAGATAGTGTCGCTACATTGGGTTGTAATCCAGGTTGGATCGCAACACCACATCGAGATGACTACACCCGAGTGTGCATGAAGAATGGTATGTGGAGTGGCATTACTCCCTACTGTGAAGGTAAGGACGTTTTACAACTTTGATTTCATAGTTTCATGTTCCTTGTGTGTTCTCGTAAAGTGTTACTATTTTGTTTAACTGTGTTTCTCATATGACCATGTTTTCTCTTTATCTCTTAAACTTCAAATATTTCCCCTATCCTCTCCCTCCCTCCGGTCTCCCTCCCAGTCATCATCGCTTTCACTTTCTCCATATTCATCTTTATCTATTAATCTGTATGAAAGCTCATAACAAACGTACCCGAGATGCATCTTTTTACATATTATTTTTATTTTGACGAGCAGCAAACCTCACAGATACATCGTGCAGCAGAACCGACTACGGTGACAAGAATGTGTTTCGCCTCGAGTGCGACTTTAAGTCCATGGTGAAAATAGATCGAGTTACTTTGTATCCAAACTCAACGGACGCGTGTACTAAAACAAATCAAGACTGTACACTTAACATCACTGAACTTGCTATTAGAAATTGCAAACACCAGCAGAAATGCCAACTTTCGTTGAATAGCTATGCAAAACAGAATAAGAAAATATGTTGTGCCCCTCTGGTTTGTCACAACATAGCGTATCAATGCGTACCAGGTAGGTAGATAATTTTAAATATTGACTTTATACGGAAAGAAAGAGTAGAAAGAACGTTTTTTTCGAAAACTTGACATTGTCATATGATTCACCTTCTAAAAAACTCATTGCAATATCAGTCTTACAATTCTTAATTAAGGAAAGTGTAATGTTCCACAGCCACCAACTAACGGAAAAGTTACGACAGAATTTGATGCTGATCCACTATCTGACCTATCAGATAGTTGGGAGGCAGCATCAATATATACATGTGACATAAACTTTAGTCTGTATGGCGATTCTGTCAGAAAGTGTGAACAGAGACAAATGTCAAGTCTCTTCGTAGACGATGGCTTTGAGTACATATGGGAAGGACGGGCCCCTGCTTGTAGTAAGACATTACATATTTTTAATAGTTTGATATATTGGAGAATTGCTTTCATGTGACAGGTTGCCCTTATATGTTTTTGAAACTATGTTTTGTATTGCGTTTTTCACTTCTTAATTTTGCCAGGTGTGCTTACAATTCTCTAAGTTTTAGTTAATAGTGTTTATCATATTACAGACGTTGACGAAACATTGTGTCCAGCGACTGCATTTAAAAAGGAGACACTCGGTCGTATGTGCTATGAATTCCACGACGATCAGCAGACAACGTTCCAAAATGCTAAAGAGGCTTGTGAGAGTAGGAGATGGAAACTTGCAACGGTAATTAATGAAGACACTCTTCGTCTCATACGGCATCACATGGATTATGATTATAGATCAAGTTACAAGTACTGGGTAAACGGTAAGATACATGATCATTTCCTCTCAACTACATTGTTCTAATTATTCAATATAAAAAAATTGAGATGTATTCTTGAGTGGACATCCACAAGAGATAATAAAAATAAATCTCACATAGAAACTAGGAAAATGTAACACAATTAATTGTGATTATAAAAGTTATTTTGCATATTACAGAAATTAGGCTAAAAGCTTTTTTTCACTTAGGTGCTTTTTAATTACTTTTGAATGAATTCATGACGTATATGCTTCCTGGTCATCTCAACCACAAGTCAACCCAGTAAAACTCAACCCCAAGTCAAGTCAACCCAAGTAAAACTTAACCCCAAGTCAAGCCAACCCTGTAAAACTCAACCCCTATATTTTTATTTATTGATAAATTATTGATAAATGTTTTTCTAATGATGAGTCAGTTTGAGATTTTTATTCTTGGACCTGCCCTTTATAGTTGATAATGAGTATATTTCCAAAATGTCTACACGGTACAAATAGGATTAAACTATGGGTAGTTCTAATACATGTTAATAATACATGTTTACGTACATGTACAATTATTTCTAAATTATCTAAAATTCGATTTCAAAAGATGCGTTAAATCAGATAATATTTACACCTTTATGAAATATCCTAGATCTTACCTGTTTTTTGATATATTTACAACTTTCTATTCAAACATACCTGCCAACCTAAGACCAAAAATTTGCGGTTGTATTTTTGAATTGCGGTATTTTTGCAGTAGATTTTTTCAAAATGTGGTAGTTTTTGCGGTATTTTCCGACAAAAATGCGGTAGTTTTATGATGTACTTTGAAAAAATTCGGTAGCTTTTGCTGTCGATTTTTGAAAAACCAGTACTTTTACGGAAATTTTTGAAAAATGCGGTAGTTTTGCGGTAGATTATGAAAAATGCGGTAGTTTCGCGGTAGATTCATGAGAAACTGTAGTTATGCGGAAGATTTTGAAAAATGCGGAAGTTTTCCAGTAGTTTTAGAAAAAACATCCTCCTCCCCCTTCCAATCGAGAACCAATATCACAATCCAGGACCAGAACACCAAGGGACATTTCATTCATACTGAAGAAAAAATGTTGAAGAAAAAATTGAAAAATTGATAGCAAATACTCATAACAATCAAAAATAGTTGTAGATACTTGTACTCATAAAATATAGAGTATTCAGTCTCAAATGAAGTGGGATTGATAAAATCCAGTCTCGAAGTCCATAGGCAGTTCAAAAGGTCAACATCCATTCGCCATCATCATAATACTCCGGGTCTTTAAATATTTATTTACTAAATCCCATCACTAGCTGTCTATATTCTCAAAACTATGACAATTGAAAATTTTACCTCATATTTTATATTTCGTTTTGGATGCCCAATGCTCTTACTTTGAAATTGCGTTCTCAAATGCTTTTTTTTATTTATTTTTTAGTTGATCCGAAGTTTTCTGATTCATTCGACCCAGCTTGGTGTACGCATGCGTATTTCGCTCCACCACGTGGAGCCATTGGATATTATGACCCAAAGAAAAACGATGGTCGATGTTCAAATAAATACGGATATATTTGTGAATACGGTAAGTAAACGTGTTATATGCTATAACGTTAGATTTACTAACTGGGCAAACGAATTAAAAGAGGAAACAAATAGTTACATTACCTTATTTATAAATAGATCTTATCAAAGTGAAGGTACAATAACAATAACCTCTATTCCCAAAATGTATTGAATATGAGTCATCATGTAAAAGAGGCGTTGCTTTAAAACATATAACATAATTCTGAAAGACATGTAGTCTTCAAAAGACTTACTTGGAGTTACTTTCGATTAAAAAAAGAGATATTCAGTTATTTAAGAGAGCAGATGTTTGCATAGATTCTTGCGTTCCTTTTTTATGTTACAAATACATATATATACAAATAAAGATGCTGCCGTATATTCCCACAAACGTTTTCTCATGCCAAAACATTTTTATTCAGAAATTTTGTTTAATACGTTTCAAAATTCACTGCTATGTATCATTTTTCTTTTCATTTATATGTTGTTATTTTGTAATTTTAGAAGCACTGGAAGCGACATCTTGTAATGCCCTCGTCACACCAAGAAACGCCTATAGAACAGGTACAAGTCGAGCAGTTGGGAGCACCGTAACGTTCAGGTGCTTCCCCGGATATACTCCCTTCCCATTCAGATCATCAAGGACTTACACAAGACAGTGTCTCGACAATGGAGAATGGGATGGTGTCACCCCGTTTTGTCGAAGTACATCATTCATACACACTTAAGTATATGTAGATATAATGAAACGGTTGATATTTTGCAGATAAAACAAGAGAGGGTCTTAAATAGCCTATACTAGGGGTTGGCCAAACAAAGTTACTGATTTTAAAGTGTAATAATTCATATTTAATCTCAAATATTCCGAGTAGATGACTTAGAACTGACGCAAATTATGTTCCATAGTAGTCACTTGGTTTTTATGCACGCCTCTGCGCTTTTGATGGCTACCAATCAAATCAACATGTCCATTTTAGTGAACGACGTGTTCCATCAATGTGCCACACTGACCAAGCATTTCTTGGCCATACATATTGGATTATCAATAACTCCCCGAGTCATTTCATATAATATTTGGTTGATCTCACGCATCAATTCTTAATGCACGTTAGAACGTTATAGCTACGTTTATTTCGTTCGCGCACAGTTTAAAACAAGTTTTGAAGAACGCAGTGGCAACTTGCTTGGTGTGATAGCTATATTTTTGCTAACTCGTTGATAAATACGTTCTTAATCAGGTTTAACCCGTTTGCAATTAGTTCTACCTCGTTCTCAATACGTCCTCAGACAGTTCAACTCGTTGTAAAAACGTCCCTAGTAGGATTGAAGTAGGGTGGTTCCGTTCGTAGTACGTCCAGCTCGTCTAGTAGGTTGTCACTCGTTCTAATAGAGATTTTACATTTTGGCATGCCATCTCCTGATACCTTAGTGAACTAAGTCATGTGATCATTTATATCCAATCAGAATGCATTTCTGCCACATAGTGATAGCATAGTGATCCAAAGCTAAACCAAGGTGTAGGAAGGGTTTATATTATCATATAGAAGGGGTGCACTTTTCTAATTGGCCATGGTTGACATGCATGTTTGCAAACTTAGTACTGGCTAACAAAATAAATTCATACTACACTGATGCCTGGGTCACATTTGCTCCGTTTGTTCAATATTGTATTCAATTTTGAACAAAATACTCAATCGGCATGGCGCCTTAGTGAAAATCGGAGCAAACTGCATTACTTGTACACAGTGTATACCAATAGCCCATTTTCAGCATAGCAATTTCTAAGAAGGGTTTCCAAAATGCTCCATCATGGAATACCTTGACCCTCTCTTATTACATGATAGACACAGACATGTTTCTAGATGCCATGTGTACCAGAATGAAAGCTCTGGCTTCTTCCTAACTTGGCGGGAGGGTGCAAAGTACTTTCTTGATCATTAAAAATAAATGCCAGTGTCACAGGAACTCTGCATTTTATGTAAATCCATTGAATATTTATCTATTTGATATTCAAAATCTAAGTAAACCTCTCTTTTTGAAGAACCAACTATCTATCATATTACTCAGATTGGATTAATCAATATTCTCATACTCTCTCTAGTTTTATGAATGAATGACCCTAAACATCATGTGAAAGACTTCTCAGAAAATGTGTCCAATATATTACTCAAAATCATACATGTCATAGGAGCTTTGAAATTTTAAAAAGTTGTCTGAAACAAAAATTGTGATCATAAAAAGAGAATGGATTGCTTTCTAAAGCAGTTTTCTCATTTTTTCTATTTTTAGGAATGAATTCAAATTTTCAAAAGCTTCTATAATTTCAAATAATATATTTGGCACACTTTCTGAAAAATGCAATAGATTCTGTCAGGTGACCTTTCTAAAAGTCCAACTTTTAACTGTTTTTGAGTCACATTTTCTGAGTCACACTCCTCTGTGTATACTTTCTCCAGTATGTATGGATCGAAACTAGGTTAATTTCCCATGTGCCTAAACCAATGTTTTATTGTTTTATTTATTTTCTGTGTATGTGTGTATGGACTACTATTTATATTTTTCCAGTGTATATATGAAACAATAAATTTTAATTGTGTGTATTGACAAATGTCATGTACTTTCTCCAGTGTGTATGAGCAAATATTATGTACTTTCACTAGTTATTTAACCAATACTCTGTACG